AACGTTGGAGAAACGTGAACATTTTATTTGTACTGTATAATCTGCAGATTCTGACAGAAATCTGCAACTATCCTTTGAAGCACCGCTCCTCTCTAAAACAATAAGCAATAAGAATAATTATTAGTTTATCTACATTATTATGTAAATAACAAAATAACTTAAAGCAAAAATTGGGAAACGTGAAGTCCAAAGTCTTTATATTAAGGGCCATCAGTCAAACAATACTGTTTGCTCTGGGTCCAAACAGAGCGCCTTGTGTGTGACGTCTTCTTTTGCGCATGCGGGCCGCTTTGAGCGTTCACACTAGAGCACGTTTGCTGTCGCATTTTATTTTTAGTGTGAACACGAAGACAAAAAAATCAGATTTGATCAAAAAATCGGAATTGAGCATTAAGACCTGCAGTGTGAACGTAGCCTTAGTTATCCCCTAATAATAACCACCCCAACTCAATGCTTAACTCTAACCTGTCCCTTAACTGCTATTTCAGGATGTAATGGGTGATGAAATTGTCCTGTGGCTGAAATTATAAATGTTCATGTAAATGTACATGTACCCTAAACACACAGCTATCCCATATCTGTCACGGGTAATTTGTATTTATAGTTAGAATACACAACAGATGTGAGTACACCCCAGTGCATTATCACCAAAATATCAAATTTTGAAACTTGTATCACCTGTCACAGTGTAACTTTAACACTTGCAAGTTCATTTCTAGAGTGTGTATTCTTGTGTAAAATGAAAAATTTATAGTTTAGATATACTTTAAAAAAATGACATGATCTCATTTCATCTGTCAATAAGATTTGAATATATAATTTGTTTCAACATCTCACGTCCTTTATTCTGTTGACTGAGTCAGTATTTTATTTCTGGAGAGATCTCGCTACTTTTCAGAGATCTTGGGTGTGTGTTGCTCTTGGTTTCACTTAAAAATACCTCAAAGGTGTTTGATTGGATTCAAGCCAGGCGAGATATTTTTCCAGGTCAGAGTTCTTACCTTCAGTCTTCTCTGACTGCGTCAGTGTGTTTTGAATCGTTATCTTGCTGGAACATTCTTCTTCTGCCAGAATTGTGGAGACTGGAAACCATCTTGTCAGATAGTATTTTGGTATATCCACAGACATTCACGCCGCCATCTGTAAATGTCATCTACCCAACACCTTTTGCACTCAAGCAGCCCATGTCATTGCAAACCTACCGCTGTGCCTCACTATTGTGACTGTTTTTCACTATTGTAGTCCTGACCAAATTTATGCCAAAAATCCTGGACAAGTGTATCTTGGTCTCAGTGTGCTCCCAGTGTATTCTCAGTACCCATCAGGCTTCTTTTTATTTCTTAGAAAACATTAATCCTTTGGTTTTGTGCCAGAGAACCTGGGTTTCTTTCTTGAATGCCATCCCTAGTGTCTGGCTTTATCCACGGTCCATGGAACTGTTACAAAAAGTTCACTGATATCCGCTGATAACCTACATGCGAAGTCTACAGCGCTCGCCATCTGTATTCCACAACTAGATTGTACATTACAGTATTTATAGCATCATGATAGGACGACGTCAATGCAGCAGCCCTGTTTAGTTGTACTTTGAGTTATTGCCTGACTATTGATTGTTAAACAATCATTTGTCTGGAAAGCCTTTTCCATATGAGCCGTGGAGTTTGCACATTCTCCTTGTGCCTTGCATGGATTCTCCCCAGTTAGTTTCTGCTTCTTCCTACACTTCAAACAAATGCTTGTTAGATTGATCTGTGATTATAAACTGGCCATAGGTGTGAATGGGAGCATCAGTGATTGTGTCTCTCTGTGTTAGCCCTGTGATAGCTCTGGCAACCTGTCCAGGGTGTACCCCAGTGAGAGCTGTGATAGGCACTAGAGCTGGGCGATATGAGATTTTTTCATATCACGATATGTTTTTTTT